AAAGATATTAGATGCTTCTTTGAAATGATTTATGTGCTCAAATCTAAATTTTTTGTTCTTTTGCAGGATTATCTGTCAGAATGGTTGCAGCTGGTGCTGAGCATACAGCTGCAATTACAGAAGATGGCAAACTCTATGGTTGGGGCTGGGGTCGATATGGGAACTTGGGTTTAGGTGACAGAAAAGATCGACTAGTACCTGCTCAAGCTTCTTCTGTTGATGTATGTTGACCAATTCCGTGAAATGGTTTTTTTTTTTATCCAGAGTTATTTATACAATCTAAATCATCACCTTGGGTTCTATAACATGGCATTTATTACTTTCCTTCTTGTTAGACTTCTTATGTAAATTGAGATCTGATTATATTTGTAAACCTTTATATATTTCCTGACTGGTTAAAATAAACCTTATCAAAAGAAGGCAGGAGTAGGAACACCTTTTATCTTTTTTGGAAGGAGGGATGGAATTAAGGATCACTGGAATCCTTATGCCAATCTTACTGGAAAACAGCTTAATATTGTTTATTTTCATGTGGTATCTTTAGGAAGATGAACATTGATGAGTGATATGATGAAACCAACTGGATTATTGAGTTGTGAAAGGTTAGACAACCAAAAAACACCTGAATTTTGTTTCTTTTCAATGTGGCACTTTTGAGAAGAAATTGATGAACGATCCAGTAAGAGAAATCCAAAAAGAAAAAAAATTGAGTTCTAAATCTAGGATGTCTTATTATGGAATACTGTGGACTCTATGGAAGTTTAGTCATAAAGTTATGTGGTGTCTATGCAAAGGGACAAATAGAGGAAATTTTTAAAACAAATCTTTAACGACAGAGAGAATGTTACCTTCTCCTCTCTTGCTCGAACGAACAAAGATCGGCGGTGCTTGCTTGTAATTTCCTCCTCAAACACAAAGGGATTCCCCTTCTCAAATGAACCCTAACTATGCAATTTTTCTTTCTCGTGAAGATTCAAAAATCCTCTGCAATACTCTCCAATTTTTCAGATCTCGTGAAGAACCTTGTCTTCGCGCGGTTGTCTGCAATACTCTCCAAGTTTGTCTTCTACCAAAAGAGTCTGTCGATTTCTTGTCGACAGAACCTTAACTTCGTGCAGGAGAAATTAAATCTACAATCCTCTACAATAATCTCCAAGTTTGTCTTAGTGCAGGAGAAATCCTCTGCAATCCTCTACAATCCTCGACAAAGCTTGTCTTTCGCGTGGGAGAAAAGATTTTTCTCTCCCCGCGTTTCTCCTCACGTGGTAAGATTAGACTGGTTTAATACCGGTTTGATTCCAGTTTATTTCACTAAGTAAACTTAAACGGGTTTAATACTGATTTGATTCCGATTTATTTTAAAATCTGCTGAACAATCCGCCGCAGCAGGTTTTAAAATGAATGTAGGCGGCGGTCTTTCAGATATCCCTATAGCAGCGGTCATAAAGACCGCCGGCTATGGCCTTTTTTTCTTGTAGTGAGATTCACGGTCGCTATTTTAATGTGAATAATAGATTAGTCTACCTGGCTGTGGTGAAGGAAGGTTAGAATCCATTGAATGTATGGCAAAACCATGTAGGATGGTTGGCGAAATTTCAAAAGATTTCTAAACCTTTTATGAATTCAATTCCCTGATTTTTTAAAAAACAACATTTTTTTAGAATCTATCTTGTACTAAATCGGACCATATTTGAAACCAAACAAAAGAGGCATACTTGACAGGGATTCCACAAATGTAACTCTCAATGTGGTAATTCATGCCCAAATCAAATCTTAAAACCAGTCTCTACTAAATATGGCACAGTTTAAAGTTGAAGGCAATTCAATAATTCAGTTTTCAACAAAACTACAATCCAACAACTTGGGTCGTGTTGGGGAGGTAAACACAAATTTTCTCTATATTTTTCTTGCAAACATCAGAGAAAGAACTGATGAAGATCAACAAAAAGTGAAGAACGAACAAGGTTTCTTGGGCGGCAAAGGGAGAAGGCAGAAAGCTAAAAGCAAAGTTTGGTTTGGAGCAATTCGCCTCCTCTCCTTTTATAACCTTTCTGGAGCACCTCTCCTAATCGAATTAGGAGTTTTTATCCAAATCTTTATTTGGATCTGGACTCTATCAAGAGATAAGTCTTATCCTCTTAAGAGGGTGCTCTATACCCATATCCAAATCCAGATTTTCTCATGTCACATGACAGCTTAATTAATCATGTGACATCTTAATTAATCACATTAATTATAGGCTTTTGACCGATTAGACATATGGCTCACGACCCAAGAGTGTTGCTGGCCTATTAAGGTTTGATTTGTATGGCATGGGACCCCACAATGACCTCATATAAGCTTACATGGGTTTGGCCTAACCTTTGTGAAAAGGCCTGGCCAAATTCACTACTAAATGTAGTGAACCCTTAAGCACATCACTATGGACTCAAAATGGACCCAACATTTATAGTTAAATGATCATTGAATCCAACCATCCTATGAAAATCCAAGGATAATGGACTTAAGTAAGATATAACCCATTAGGTAATCAGCCCTTAATGGTTTCTTATATTTAACCTCTTAGCCCATAATGATCAAACACTATGCGATAGGGAATGACCTCTCCCTTGACGGCAAAGTGCAGTGTCACACTCTCTGATCGGATGGATCATAGGAATTAAAATATTTTGAAAACAGTTTTCTTAAAACATAATATATATAATTTTTTGCAAAACCAGATCTCAAACACGGTTGAAATCCACTGTCGATAGTTTAGGTTTCCATCAGAGAGAGTGTAGTTCCAATCATTCACTCTACCCGACAAAGGGGTCGATCCTATCACTATGATCACCCACTTAAGTGAATTCTCAGACTGCCCCAGCATACCCAATTTTTGACTCATAATGGATCTCACTAATGGGCATATCAAAGACAACCCAATCCGACACCCATGTGTAGTACCATAATCAAGTCTAGGGGTTACGTGTAACTTTCCAATTTTTCTCATCTATCTACAAGATCTAAGGCATAACTAAAAAATGGTATGAGTTTAGTGTTTCAATCAAACACACACTACATGTGCATTAGGTCTTACCTTAACAACTAAGACAAACTGCCCCAACTTCTTTGGCAGTACATTAGTGTTAGTGTCAACCTTGGTAGGATAAATTCCCCAAGTCTATCCAACGGCTGAGAACATTCTAAATTAACGCGGGTCTCATAAGTGTCTAGTTTAAGGGGTAAAATGACAGAACATACCAATATTAACATGAAACAATAATGTACATTTATTCATTTATAATAAATGTTTCTATACATCAACCTAATTGGAGTTAATGGCATACACTATTTAATATGTGGTTGTGATTTATTCATAGAGAATTTCACTATATTTAATTCCCAATAGTGAAGAGATATATTTACCAATAGGGGTGTGAATTGAATTGGATTTAGTCCAATTCGATTCGATCCAATATAAATCCATTACAAATGGACTAGGTTCAATCCAATCCAATGAATATTTTGGACTATATTTTGGACCGTTCCAAAACAATGTCTGGACCGTCTAATCTGTTCAAATATGTTTTAATTTAGATTGGTTTCAACCTAAACATGGTCTATATCAATGCATCAGATATTGTTTCAATCCAACCCAACTCAATATTATTTCATTATGGACAAACCAAGTCCAATCCAATCCAATAAATCCTTTGCATCAGTAAATTTGGATTGGTTTAATTCAATGTCTTGTTGGTCCGTTCAATTCATCCAAATTTTAGTTTGGATTGGTCCATTTACACCCTTATTTACCAATATTAATAAGAAATTCAATTAGTTTTTAAATCACTTTTTTAAACTTTTCCTTCGTTGTTTAATCTCCCAATTACTTCATTTTTTAAGGTGCTTGAAAAACAACTCTTACCATGTGTCACAAAACTTCTTTTTTTTTTAATTCAAAATTTTTTGTAACCTAAAGCTTAAAAGCAAAAGCTTATCCAAAGGGAGAATCAAAATGACTAATCAACACCCTCCACAATAGTCATTCTACCGTTCAAGAGGAATATATAGAACTTCCGAAGTTATTACAGATTCTAAAACCTCTTCCTAAGACAAAGTAGCTAGGGGTGGCAATTTTTCACCCAACCCACTGAACCTACCCAATTAACCCACACATTATCTAACCCACCCAGCCCGCTCATTTACTTGGCGGGTTGGAAATGGGTTGATCACCCATTGGGTTAATTTAAATAGGCTGGTTTGGGTTGTTGACAACCATTGCGTTAACCACTAAATACATCTTTTTAATTTTCTTCATTTGAATGAAATAATTTATAATTAATGCATTATCTTTTTATTAATTATTGATTAAAATTAGTTTTGTCTCGAATCAATACACTTCACTCAAATCGACATAAATCCAAATCAACTTGACCCGAATTCGGATCATCTCAACTTGGTTTAAATATGAATAAATCCAATCACCTCGGTTCAATGCGTTTGGGTCGATCAGACTAGTCCGAACCCAACCCGATTTGGGTCGTCCCGAATCCAAAACAGGTCCAAGGTGGGGTGATTTGGCCTAGATCCCGATCCGACCCAACTCATAATCCGCCCCACTTGATTTTCCCAGTCTGGATTGTCTGGTATGATCCGTATCTACACATCCCGACTCGAATACGGGACTGGTCCGATTTACTTCTCTTGTCCCTCTTTGAGCCAATCATTCAATCCTAAACCCGTGCACAAACTTGATATGGGCTGGTCCAAGTCAATCCACTATTGACTGAACCAATATGATTTGATCTGACTGGATTGATCTAGATCTAAATGATTCAACCACTCTTGATGTGATTAGCTCAAAGACAATTAAATTAGATAGTTCAAGTTGGTCTGACCGGTTTGAACCTAAGTGGTTCAGTCAAACCCAAAATCCGAATAGAGTCAAATGGCTTCATTGCCTATGTAAAAATAACATGCATATAATGTGATTTGAACATTCACCACTTGTGTAAAAATAACATGAAGAGGGAATTAGATTTTTGTTTTTAATTACATAAATATAAGATTAATGGGTTTGGGCGGGCTGAATTAAGTTAAAGTGGGTTTGGATTAAACCCAATCCATTTAATTTTATGTAACTGGATCATTAATGGATTGACAGGTTAGATGAATTGGGTTGAAATTCAACCCAAACTAAACCCAATCCAACCAGCCCAATTTCCACCGCTAAAAAGTAGCAAACACCAACTCTTAGGTCATTCAATCAGAGCCAGCATCGGAGTCCACATCTCTAGAAGAAATATGCTCATCAAACCACCAGTCTTCATAGATTTCTGAACCCTCAGGCTTGAATCTCTTGATATGAGAAGCAAGCATCAATATCTCCTCATCATCAGCCTCAAAACCGATGCAGTTCCTCACATCCAATTCCACCAGCTCTTTGCATCCCTCCAGTATCGTTACAAGACTCTCACGCGGCAGAGAAGAATTTTTCAGGTGCAAATACTTTATCTTGGGCAACTGGGTTGCAATCGCTAACGCTGCTTCATTGTCGATGTAGCCTTTTGTGCCAAGCCCAGAAAAGTTCTTGCAGTTCAGACTAATTTGGGTCAGAATTTCCTTGAAGCAATTTAATATAGTTCCCAAGTACAAGTACCGCAATTCACTCCATTTGCTTACAAATTCTAAAATATGGTTCTCTCCACTGACTACTAACTCAGAAGGAAGTCCTATAACTTGCAAAGAAGGGCACCTATTAAAAAAAATTTATGATCAGTATATAACACAATAAAAACAGCCTATTCTAGCATTATAATCATCTCTCCTGATTTGATGTTGTCCTAATCCAAATTAGATGAAATGAACATGTATTGGGCTGTGCAACCAATTATAAAATCCCACACTAATCACCTACAAACTTTATGAACCATAGACCCAAGATTTCGAAAAACTTGACAAGTGAAATCCACCATTTCGAAACATTGGACAAATGGGCCCAAAATTCTTGATTAGTACATGTAATTTGCCCGGTGCTATTTTGGTCTCCTAACTTTAAAAATGAGATAATTCAATATTCGAATTTTTAAAATATGATATCTGTCATTAATCAATAATTAATTTTTTACTAAGTGACAATTGAAAAGGACATAAATGTTCTTAGAACATCATTTAATTTTCTTTATCAATTATCTAAGCATTAACAAAAAATTAATCATCCCAAATCCTTGTTTCTTATATTCAAAAAGTTGGGGTTAGATTTGAATAGAAGAAGCAAAGATTTGAGACTATTAGATAACACTGAAAGGGCATTTATATCTTTTTAAAATATCATTTAAAAAGCTGATTAATTCATCACGTACTAGATTGTCCCATTTAGAAAAATTTGAATACTAAATTATGCATTTTTAACTTCTAAGAACAAAGTGGTCGGAAATTTTCCGTTTATTTAATCCATCTCAGCAAAAAGAAAACTCCATTATTTCTGAACGCTCGTCGGTTACTGAGATTATAAAATTGTAGCCTAACCCGCCCCTGACCATCGTTCAGACTCCAGACCTACCTTAACATGAAAAAGAGAGAAACTGATTAGCATGCATAGAGAGAGAGAAATCTTACTCATTGGAGACGTAAGCGAAGGCCTCCAAGCTACAGCAACCTGGAAGAACAAGCTTGACAGAAGATTTACAGCTTCGATCGACTACAAACTTAATGAACCCAGTTACAGAGAATTTATCTGCATGGTATTCATCCATGTATCTCTCCATAAAAGGGCTTGATGGCCAACCGCCGAGTTTCGGAAAAGTGAGATTCTTCCAGCACTGTGGATCAAGAGAGGCATTGTACCATGATTTGCAGACGAAGGGCACATCCAAGATAAGTGATTCCAGTCCCACCACCTCAAATACCTTAACCAAACAATCTTTATTCATCTCCTCCCATTTCCTTTCTTCTTCAATTACTACAGCTTTTCCATGGGATTCTTCCATCCCTTTCTGTGTCTTTCTTTCTCTCTCCTCCCAGTTGGTTTCTTTTTCAACAGTTCTCGTGTTTCCAAGGATTCCTTCCATCTCTCACTTGATCACTTCACTCCACTTCTCTTCTTTCGATGGAATTATTTTCGCTGGACTCGAATCCGCATCCCTTTCGATGGAATTATTATTCTTTCCTATCTCCGCACATCTCTCTCCTCGTTTATATATTAAGCAGAAGAAGGGACTGGATAATGCTTCGGTCTAAGGTAAAGCGTAAAACAAAATAAATGAGTTCCTTACAGGTGAAGTAATAACCTCTTTGGGCCCATCTCTTTTTAGCGCACTCTACGGACGACTTTTCATAAACGTTTTATTTCCCAAAGCCCCGAACGCTCTGCACACGTTAGGAGGCAGTCGTCTAGTTTTGTTTCCGAAACCAGGTTTCAAAGGAGGTTGGGGTTTAGGAATGGCAAAGGGGCAGTTTCGGGGTGGAGATTATATTCTCCGTTTCATGTTCTGTTTAGGATAAAATTTGTCTTCCATCTCTAATTTGCAAGAGGGATGGGTCATAGGGACCTGAATCCCTAATTTTTTTAGATAATAGTGTTTTTTTTTTTAAAAAATAAATTTATATAAAATAAATAAAATTATTAAATTGGGGACAGGGAAAATTTTCATTCTAGTGAGGGTGGCAATTGAATGGGTATGGGTTGAGCTTTAACCCAATCCATTCAACCCGCTAACCCGTTAATAATCCATTAAGAGAAAAATAAATGAGTCGGATTGCATCTAAACCCACCTTGATCCAATCCAGTCGACTCAATTCGTTATTTTTTAAATCATTAAAATACAGAAAGAAGTAAAAAAGGTACAAAAATTACAGGAAAAGGTAATAAAAATATAGAAAAATGTATGGAATAAAAAATAATTGAAATTGTAGAAATATAACGAAAAATCCATAAATTACAGGAAAATGCATTTAAAAGCACAGAAAATTACCAACAAACATTACAAGAAAAAGCATTTTTAGCGGCAGTTTTGGAACTGACTGAAGGATGACTACCGCTACACAGGAGGCACATATTGAGTATTTTTTTTCCTTCCCGTGCTTCTTTATCTTCCTTTTTATTTTTCATTTCTTCCTCTTTACGCCCTCTTCATCTCTCTCATTTTTCTCGCACTCTATGCTTCTTTATTTCTTTTTATCTCAAATCAGAACAAAATAGAAAACCAAACCGAAGAAAGCAAAGTAGACTCCGGATCTTCTGCCCATGTCTACCCACAATACACTACCCCTGTGAATTAGAAACATCTCCCCCTGCATAATACTATGCAGGAGGATGAGATGTTCTCCATGTGTGGTTGCGATGTTATGTGGGTAGACGTATGCAGAGTTTGTGCGGGTAGGAGATCCGGACTCTGCAAAGCAACCTTTGTGAGCAAGGGGGAGATCGGATGCTTAGACTCCCTATTCATAACTCGTCTCCCACCCATAACTCTCACGATCTCTTACTCTCCAGAGCCTATCCCCTATCAAATCCATTCATCCAATGACATTGTTACATTTTTTGGATAATTCTTCAGCCCGACTTTGGTTTGTCTCTTACTTCCTTCTCTAGGGTTTCAATGTCAATTCCATTTTAGCTTGCACGAAAACTCAAATTTTTAATCAATTTCATAGTGTTTTTGAAAGAATGGTAGGATCCATCGTATGGACGCCATAAAGATTGCGGAATGGGTGGGTGAATTTCAAAAATTTTTCTACCTTCTTCAAACTGGGAATCGTATTCCCTAATTTAAGAATGCAATATTCAAGGATCCTACTTGAACCAAAACCGGACCAGATCTAAACCAAAGACAAGGGAGGAATTATACCTGATCTAGAGAAGCAGTATCTCCCAAAGTTGGTGTTCACGCCCAAAGAGGACACCGAGATCCGCTCCCGCTGAAGATGACACAGCTGTATGTGGAACGGAACCAGCAGAGTGCAGCCTACACACTGAATCCTTCACAAGAATCCTCTGGAAACTCTAAGCACCAAATCTTTTCAGTTCTTTCTGCAAAACTGATATCAAGAACTGATTTCTTGATTTCTTTCCTTCAAAGATCGAATCTTGTCAGAAAAAATGGCGGCGGCTGGAGGAGAACTCCTGAGATGAAGATGGCTGAAATTGCTTCTCTTCTCTCTGGAGTGTGTATGAAATCCAATCTCAATTCGTAGGATGATTTCTTGCACACAAACCCTATGTTAAAATTTTGATCTTGTTCTCTTAGAGTTTCTCCTCTTTTCTTCTTGATTAAGAAACCTCCCTAAGGAGGAGTTATCCCAATCCAAATCAGTATTTGGATAGGGATAATCTTAATCCTATCTTCAGATTAAGTTAGTTTACTCCTGATCTTATCAGGAGGTTACCAGATTCAAATCGGATTTGAATTTGGTCTCCCAGAGTGGATAAGGTTAA